TTTCAAAAAGGAGTTAAAAAATTCGATCTCTTTTCATCGTTAGTTCAAAAAAAAATAAATTTCAGGGTCTGTTTATTTAGGAATTCATTGTTCTCACATGAAGAAAAAACTTTTGGAGGCTTTTTTATCAATAACAATAAAAAATTAGTTCATTTAGTCAAAAGTAAAGTGCATATTTTACTTTGCCCTTCATTTTACAAACAACACACGAATAACTGTATTTTCGTCGCATTTCCACTTGCGAAAAAGTTCACTTCGCCATCCTTATAACATCCAAAGGATCACAAATATTTCGCCCGCTTCCTTGGTTACTAGGAGAAATTCAATGTAGCGCATTAGTGAGTGTCAGAAAACAGCTGAGAAATATTGTTAATCCCGAGCCGACACAAATTTTATGTTTAAAATTGGTACATAATAAACAGAAAGGCATTGAGCTTATTCCAGAAACGCCAAAATTCCAAGGCGATACTTCAGTCTTTAAATGCGCCCGAATCCATCTTGTCCGAGTTTTATGGATAAATCAGATTCAGATTGATTTTAGACAGGGTACAACCAGACAAACATGAATCATGCAGCGCATCAGTCTTGTGTTTTTCTCGTACTGATAACTGCTCTGTCTCATACATATATTGTGCGGATATTTAAATACAGTATAAACGAAATATATGTGTGCCAGATGATTTTAAAACTTTTCAGCGCATTTGGTATGCGGAAACGTAAATGTTTTATGTATGTACAGCAAGAGAGTGCTTTAATTGCTTTTACTAAACTACGTATATTTTAATGCCAGCTACCCGCAAGAACGAAAATGATTTCCATTTTTTTCCTGGAAAACTTTTGGATCATAAAATTATTTGCATTCAGCAGCTTTTCGAAGTCGAGCACGTGGTACAAACTAGAAGCATGAAGCACTGAATCAAAAGGCTTAGTAGAATCACTTCTAACTGTAGAAGCCCCCCTGTGCGTTAACATAATTATCTATTCTGGCGGCCTCTTCTTGCTCGCATTATCTACACATTTTCCTAATATTTCTTCCAAACATACAGGTACTTTCCATAATCCTGAAAAACTTTTGAATCATAAAATTAGTTGCTGGGGTAGAAGAAAACTTCATTCGCAGCGCAATAATGCTAACACCCTCATCTTCCTCTTTCATCTCCCTCTAGTCCAAACACACACAGCTCCCAAAGTGCTCCCATTCTGAAATTTGGATGCACTGCTTTTTTTCAAAAGTCTCAGTTTTCAATGCTTGAAAGTTGTTTTCCATTGCACTTCGCTTATCAGGAAAGAAATGAAACTTTGAAATTGTTTTTTATGGCAGAGAAAACGCAATCTTCTCAAAAATCCTTAAGTTTATTCAGCTGCAAAATATTATTAAAAACATCATTTTTACGCGTTCCTTCTGTGCAGTGCTATCGCTATAGCGCTGCTACAGCCAGCAAAAACGCAATTTGTCGAGAGGCTATGTGTGTGTGTTTACGGAAAGCGAGTGCATTTTGTCAGCCACTTTCATCTCAGCAACCAGGAAAGATGGGAGGCTGAAACC